AGTGAGCAATGAGGAATATTTAAGGTCACCCCTCAAACTGCTCTAATGCAGGGCTAAATGTATACAATTGCATGGGCAAGCTGACAAATTACATACTTCTAAGCACAAACTGCACAGGCACACTAGCACTGCTAACCTAATGTCAATTGAAAATGCTGTGACACAAATGTGTATATGTCATATAAACTTGTGTGTTATCCAATGTAGAACTCTCTGAACCTCCGCACCTGCGGTACCACAGTGTATGCTATACCAGTTGATTGTCTTGATCTCTTGATAAGTATGTAACTCTATATACATGAACTGATAACATTTTATTTATTTTTTTAAAGAAAGTGTAAACATTAGATGACTCTTTACATGAAGTGTTTAGGAAGGCTGTGTAAGTCACATGCAGGGAGGTGTGATAATGGCTGCATAAACAAAGTGATTTAACTTTAACTAATAAATTGAGCAGTGAGACTGCAGGTGCATGATCTATACACCAAAACTGCTTTATTAAGCTAAAGTTATTTTGCGGACTATAGTGTCCCTTTAAGGAAGAGCACACACACAAAAATATAGTGTCAAATTTTACAGAGCTACTTAAAATCAAATCTCAAACAAATATGGAGATTCAGTTACACTTTACAGGAATATCATATTAAGCCACTACGTCCCAGTACACCATGCTAACTACAAAACTTACTGCTTAAACTGCTTCCAAAAGAGCACCTATAATGGAGGGGTGGGTGCTCAACCAAAAGGAATCTTGGCTGGTGATTTTAAGTACCCCTACAAAATTTCAAACTGTAGTTTTTTTGTGTGCGTGCTGTTCCTTAATCTGTATTTTACAAGGGATACTACCTCTCAGTCAATAAGTCTACCAGTCCCATAAAGACCTCCACCTCAGTGACATGTATCTGTTATCTTTTATTGTTACAACTGCAAAGGATTACATTGCAGACTTAATTTAGAATAATGTACACTAACTAAAATAGTATGCTAGATACATTTGTACTCCATTACTTACAATTCCTGCAATGATGCATCTTGCCGACCCCCCACCTAAAATAAATGCATTTTCACCTGTATTTCTCTTAACCCCCTTTTTGGAATTTCTTATCCCCTCTTTTGATTGTCTTATCTGTTGTATTGTGTCTTATCTCCCATTTTTTCTCATTGTGTGTCTTTCACCCCTCTGTGTGTCTGCACCGTAGTGATGACTGGGTCGTAGTGACATCACATCATGACTCCTGGAAACGCCATGGGGCAAGGGTGCTGTGCAGGCACATTAAATATAGACCAGCTGCAGGAATAAATATTGACTGGTTAGAGCAGTGGTAACATCACTGCCTACTTACTGGGAAACCAAGGTTCAAATACCAGTCTGAAATTTTGGGTAAGAATAGAGTTAAAGAACTCCCTCCACAAATCACAATCCAGGATGCTCAAACCAGACCTGAGGCTGGCAAAACCTCATCATACGAGTAAGCCAACAAAGATGATCCAGGCACTCAAGGTTGAATAACAGGCAGATTTATTGAAGAAAAAGTATCACTACAATGTTTCGACCTCAAATGACAAAGACCGAATTTGAGGTTGAAACGTTGCTGTAATACTCTGATATTCAGTTAAACCTGCCAGG